TACTTAACCAGTCCCAGGTTGACAAAAACTTCCAGTTTGGAGAATTACTAAGAATTTGAATTTGCTTTATTGCCAGCCAGTTTCTGCTCTTTCTCAAGCATGTTTTGACACAATGTTGTAGAAGACTTGGAGCAAAAGTAAGATGAGGAAAGCTGATAGGAGACTGAGAGCCTAGCTCAAAGGGGGTTTCTGTCTCCGGGCTGCGGGGGGGGGGGGGGGGGGGGGGGGGGCAGGGGAGAGCAATGGATGCTATAAAAAATTGGCTACACAGCTAACATTTTCTGGAAGATTACATCCCCAGGTGCTAAAGGAAAGCCCTAGGATAGCTTGGCTCCTGCCTGCAATGACTTTCATATCTTCTCTATAATCTGCATTCAGCCAAATCCAACAGCTCACAGTAAGGTTCCTGCATTCCCATGGCCTACCTGGTTGAAAGATTACCTTTCCACTTCAGTCGCTGTGGTTTCTGCTATGAGGAATCTCTGCTTGACTCCCCCTCATTCCCTTCCAGGAGCCTACCCTGACTTAGGTCTCCAGCTTGTCATAGAGATGTCCCCACCCTCAGTTTCTCTTTTTTCTGCAGGCCTTCTGTCTTCTCACCCTTCTCTCCTCAGGTCTGATCTCCACCCTCTTAACTCTCTACATCCCTCTCCTACCTTGTTCCCTCTCTTCACCCATTACTTCCTTCTGTTCTATCTCCCCTTCCCAGTATGATTCATGCATCTTCACTGGGGCGGGGAACACCAACCCACCCACAAAAACTGCAACCCAAATTTATGCTGCCCACGAGATGTGCAGGGATAAAATAGAGCGGGTAGATCAGAAATGGAGGGAATGCCCAACTAATGCCTGGCCCAACAAAAGACCCACCCTATCGGACAGTGCCAACCCCTAACACTGCTAAGCTTGTAGACAGGAGCCTGTCAGAGGTGTCCTCTGAGAGGCTCTACCCAGCAGCACCTCAAAAAAGATGCAAACATTGGGTGATGCATAGAGAGTCTTGGGAGGAAAGTGGAAGAGAGAAAAGGACCCAGAAGTGACAGGAGCTATACTAGGAAAAGAGCAGAGCCAAATGACTAGGGCCCAGAGGGGTTTGCAGAGACTGAAGCATCAACCAAGGACCATAGATGAACTGGACCTAGGCCCCCTACAAAGTTGTAGCACATGGGCAGCTTAGGCTTCAAGTGGATCCTCTAGTAAGGAAAGTGGGGACTGCATGGGACACAGACTCATTTGTCAGCTTTTAGATCACTCTTCCCTGGTGGCACTGCCATGACAGGCCACAGGGGAAGAGGACACATTCATTCCTAATACAACTTGATGAACTGGGGTGGATGGGAAAGGGAGCTCCCCTTTCTGAGGAAAAGGGGAGGGAGGAAGAGGGAGAAACAGTGGGACTGGGAGGGGAGGAGGGCAGGGGCTACAAGGATGTAAAGTGAATAAAATAAATGAGAAAAAAAGATCCCCTTTCCAGATTGCTCTGTGGAATGTGGTTTCTTTCAACTTTTCACTTGTTGTTCACGCTTCAGGAGCCAGTCTGAACTTTTCTGAGAAAATTTCCTTATCCCTAAACCTGGATGTGGAATCTCTGCTTGGCTCTCCTCATATCCTATACTTATCGCCATGGTAGCGCTTAGAACACTGTAATTATCTGCTCACTGTCTATCTGACCAGAAGCACCAGCAGGTCAGGAAACACGTTTTTCTCATAGTTGGATGTCATAGTATACTCACCACATGACTGCCACAACTAAAGAAATGATAAAGGACACAAGGCTCTATAATCAAGGGATCTTCCATCGAGCGATCTGCCCTGGTCCTTTCTCAAGAAGTGACTGACAGACCTCTAGAGGGTAAGTACAGTCAAAAAGTATAGGCTAACAGAAGGAAGAGATGACCATTCCAAGGGCTTGGGATGTAGCATGTATGGGATGCTGGGTTACCTTCACTACCCATTCCCCACAAAAGTATTACAAGTATTACAGCTGTGGGCAAAGGCCAAGTCTCCATGGTGAATGCTCTAGTGTGTGCTCAGACATTTGGAAGACCATAAAGTGATATAAACTAGAATGAGAAAAGGGAGTATGTACGGTTAGAGTATAGGCTGCAGAGGTAGCAGAAGCTACCCTGAGACCTTCCCTTATTCTAAAAGCAGCAGGAGGCTGGAGAGATGGCTCAGCGGTTAAGAGCTCTTTCTGCTCTTCCAAAAGTCCAGAGTTAATTTCCCAGCCACCACATGGTGGCTCAGAACCATATATAATGTTATATGGTGCTCTCTACTGGTGCACACGCAGGCAGAACACTGTATAAATGATCAAAATAAAAGCAGAAGGAAGCCACAGGATATACAGTGAATTGGAGTTAAGATGAGTGAATAATAACAGATTTTCATTGGTTGAACTACACGAAGTACCTAGAAGGGAATATGGGAAGGATAGGATAGTAGCTAGGACTGAATAAAAGGCAGAGGCAGGATGATCACAAATTTGAAGACAGCCTGGGCTACAAAGGAAGACCAAGTCTTTAAACAAAAGAAAAAAAAAAAAAACAAACGAAAAACCCAAAACAGTGGGGCTGGAGAGATGGCTCAGCAAAGACACTTTCTGTTGCAGAGGCCTGAGCTCAGTTCTTAGCACCCACACTGGTAAATCACAACCACCTGTAGCTGCAGCTCCAGGGGACCAGATGCTCTATTTTATTTTATTTTTAAAGATTTATTTATTATTTATACAGTATTCTGCCTGCATGTGTGCCTGCACACCAGAAGAGGGCACCAGATCTCATCATAGATGGTCATGAGTCACCACTTGTTTGCCAATTTGTTTGGAATTGAATTTAGACCCTTTGGAAGAACAGCCAGTGGTCTTAACCCCTAAGCTATCTCTCCAGTTCACATTTATATGACACACATAAAATAATATATTTTTAAAAAGACATTTATGCCAGGCAGTGATGGCACCACCTTTAACCCAGCACTCAGGAGGCAGAAGCAGGCAGATCTCTGTGAGGCTAGTCTCGTCTACAGAGAGAGTTCCAGGACAGCCAAGGCTACACAGAGAAACCCTGTTTCGAAAAACCAAACTGAACGGGCTCGGTGGCACACGCCTGTAATCCCAGCACTCAGGGAGGCAGAGGCAGGCACGTCGCTGTGAGTTTGAGGCCAGCCTGGTCTACAAAGCAAGTTTAGGACAGCTAAGGCTACACAGAGAAACCCTGTCTCAAAAAAAACAACAACAGAAAAAAAGAAAAACCAAACTAAACCAAACCAATCCATCAAACAAACAAAAAGACCTTTAGGTAGGTGTGGTGGTACACACCTTTTATCCTAGCAGTTGGAGAGGTAAAGGCAGATCTCTGTCAGAAAAAAAAAAAAAAAAAAAAAAGACATTTAGGGACCTAACCTGAGGTGAGGTCACCACCTTTGGAAGTGAGGTAGATTAGATCAAAACAAATTGCTCTATGTATAGAATTCTCAAACAAGTTGTTCATGGTGGTGCACGCCTGTAATCCCAGCACTCGGGAGGCAGAGGGAAGTGGACCTCTTGAGTTTGAGGTCAGCCGGGCCTACAAAGTGAGTCGAGGACAACCAAAGGTCACACAGGGAAACTGTCTTCAAAAAACTACAAAAATATTTCTCTAACAGTAAAAAAGTGACATTTAGATATTAAATGGACTATGTTCGAAATGGAAGCGTTATGAAAGGTAACAGTTGGGGGTTTGGCTTGTATACATTGTGGGAACACTGAGTAAGACCCAGGTTTGGTAGGGAGGGTTGGAGTGCACAGAGAGATACTGAACTTATATCCTGAAGGAAATGTCAAGGACACAACTGGTTATACAGATCTGGAGCTTAAGAGATAAGGGCTTGGCTGGAGACATGCAGGTGGCAAATGAAGGTGGGCAATGATGAGCACAAGCAGGGTAGAGTGAGGTGAGAAGCAGAAGACAGCCCAGAAGAACTTTAAAATAGTAAGTGGACCAATCATGGCCAATGAACCATGGCAGCCTCAGACCTCAGGTGTCCTGTCAGCTGGTTTGTTTGTTTATTTATTTATTTATTTTGGCTTAGTTTAAATGTGTTTGATTCCTATTGCCTTCAGTCTCTAGTTTCCTTTCTTCATTAATAATTTCAAGGATGTTTTTGAAACTCATTCACGTTGAAGTATGTATAACTCAAGGTGGTCATACAGGTTCCTTTTCCCTAGGGCAGTTTAATCCTTAGGACAAGTACAAGGTGCAGCCAGGTCAGGCTAAACGGAGATGGTTTGATCTTAAGAACTGGAATTTACTTGTAGCTTTGTCAATGGTGTAATGTGTGGCCTTGCGCAAGTCACTTATCTCTGGGTTTCAGTTTTTCAATCTGTGAAATGGGAATAAATATTCTTAACTCAAAGAGCTGTTTTAATAGAAAAAGAGAGGCTGTAAAAGAACTTGTGGAGTTAATGTCCTAAATCTTTTATGAGGAACGTAGAGGAAATGAAGATCTAAACTGTAGCTTCCAGAAGCCGACAGGCAGGGATGTAGGAGGAAGAGGCTAATTTACAGACAACAGTCATACACGTGTGGCTGGGAGGAACCTGCGGATTTCCTTTAAGGGGGTCTTCTTGCTTGAAAGAGTAAGCAAGGGGGGACTTTTAAGCCCCGTGACATTTTCTACATCTCTAGAAATTAAGGGCTGTGAATTACTCTGATGTGTCCTGTCAGGTGAGTCCTGGTTCTTCAGAGGAAAACCAATGCCATGCCCTGGGGCGTTTCTGATTTCCCTTTCTGTGGGACTTGAGACACCCTTACTGGGAAAGCACCATGCTTGCATAGAGGTCCTCGTAAACACTGCCAAAATAGTCCCGCAGTTTATCTCGAGTGTTGCCTTCACTCGTGAACAGGAATGAGGATTTGGGGAGAACCTCAGGTCTCCAACTGGGAAAGTTGTGGAGTTCCTCCCCTTTCAGAGAGCTCTGGTGTCGTCCTACAATAGTTCTCCTGCTTTCCCGCCCAACTCACCCGCAGTCTCTTACCCTCCGGCTTCAGCGTCTCACTACCTGAGGGTTCCTTAGCCGAACTCCATAGCAACGTCTCACGCCCTAGACGACGCAGTGACCGTCCTCGTGGTGCCTTCAGGGACTTGTAGTTCTTCGGGACGGGCCGCAGAGGCTGCGGGGTTTGCTGGGATTTGTAGTTCTTTTTATTTTACGTCAGGCCCGGGATCCGGAAGTAGCATTACGCCTTTTTCCTTTACAGTGGCCCTGGTACTTCCTTTTCCCGGGTCCTCCAAGGGTGCCCAGCTAACGACAGCCGGGGCCAATGAGAGGGCGGTGAGAAGGGGCGGGATCACATTTTAAACTAATCGTGTCTTCACCGTGTGGGACACATCTCCAGGTGAGGTGTGGTCTGGCGGGCGCGTGGCGGAGCGGTGCGCGGCCAGCTAACCGGCGCGGGCCCTTTGGCTGGGGTGCGGCCTGGGTCCCCTCGGGGACGGCCGGGCCTGGAGGGGGTGCGGATCACGCCGTGGGAGAGCAAGGCCTCCTTCGTAGCCGAGGGTGAAAGGAGAACCTATAAGCGACCAGGTTTGTGGGAGCCTGCCGTGTTGGAGCGGGTGGGTCTGTTTGAGAGCCTTCTAGTGGGCTTATGGCCGAGGGGCGCGGGCTGTCACGGGGTTGTGGAATATTCAGAGGACTGTACCCGAGGGTCCTGCGAGAGCAGGTGCTCGTTTATGGTTAATGAGAGCAGCAGTGGCATCTTCTGAGCTTCCACTATGTTTCTGACATTGTGTGGCTGGTAGAAGAGGATCATCCTTTTAATTTTCCCAACAACCTTGATCATGTTTTGTAGGTGAGGCTCCAGAGGCTTGTGTTTACCTTGGCAAGGGTTGCACAGTTTTGCTATACCTGGGGGTTTTGAGCGCCGGGCGTAAATGGTGGGAAGGGACTGTGTTGGGATGCCCTTTGAATGTAAACAATGAATTTACCTGCCTCACCCTCTTCTTGGTTTGGTGTGAGAGGCAAGTCAGAAAGTACGGTTTCTGCGAGCACCTTCGAGAATACAAATTTAAGATTTTGTTGTTGTTGCTGTTCTTGTGTTTTTCGAGACAGAGTTTCTGTTTTTAGTCCTGGATATTCTGGAACCCGATCCGTAGGCCAGGCTGGCCCCTAACTCAGAGATCCTCCTGCCTTTGCTGGGATTTAAGGTGTGTGCCAAAATGCCCGGCTGGGTAACCTCCTTTTGCTTACTTCTGCGATCACACTTGTCATCTGTGTCATTAAGATCTTTTTCCGTGTTTGCCTGCCCGTCTAGGAGTGACTATGTATTTGTTACTACATCCTGATGGCTTCTCGAGATTCGAGCGTGGTCATGGCCTTTACTGTATGTCTGGGAATGTTGCATTTTCTTGGGCTGGGAGGGGACAGAAACCCAGCTTACCCAGCTCTGTGTTCTTTTCTCCCCCTCTTTTTGTTTGTTATGTTTTGGCGCATGGTAGGCCAGCATTGTTAGCCCTTTTTGTGTGTGTTTGGTGGCATTTGTTTTAATTGCAGCATGAAGTTATTCTTTACTTACTTGCTTTAATTCATACTTATTTTGTACGTTATGACTAATTGTAAGGCCTGAATCTTAGTCTAAAGCCAGTCCTACTCTCTCAGAGCCATGTTTTACCTGATGGCTCACTAAGAAACATTTTTCTTTAGAAGTGCTTTTTTTTTTTTTTTTAAACTTGTGGAATATAGAAGTGGGATGCATGCCTTGAACTAAAAATTCTAGAATTGTGAGGATGCAAATACAGCCCTGCCTCAGATGCCTAAACAGAACTGAGCAAAGGCTGTTTTGATATCTGTGTGTAATTGATAAGAACAGATGGCCAGAAGGGACTGAGGGCATTGAATTTACCTGGTATACACTAAGCTTAACAAGAAGTGTTCAGATTCAAAATGAGCATTTGCAAGAATGAAACTGTTTCCAAAGGCCAAGAAATCCATCTCAGTGTTGAACTCTTTCCTATCCCCGTATTTATTTATTTATTTATTTATTTTGCAGTGCTAGGGCACAAATGTACTTTTAAAAAGGTGGGGGAGAGGGGTGTGCTGGAGAGGTGGCTCAGTAGTTAAGAGCTCTGGCTGCTCTTCTATTGGATAAGGGTTAGACCCCAGGAACCACATGGTGGCTTACAACCATTTATAACTCCAGTCCCAGAGGAATCTGATGGCTTCTGTGGGCACTGCATGTATGTGATGCACATCCATTCATTTGAGGCAAAACACTCACACACAAAAGAAAATAAGAAACAAAACAAGCCAGGCATGGCGTTACACACCTTTTAATCCCAGCACTTGGGAGGCAGAAGCAGGTGGATCTCTGTGAGGTCAAGGCTAAGACTGGGCTACAAAGTGAGCTTAGAATAGCCAGGGCTCTGTAACACAGAGAAACCCTGTCTCGAAAAACTCCCTGTCATACACTCTGACACTACTGGATTACTAAACTGTTTGTCATCTTTTAATTTTTAAATTAAAAATTTAATGGGCTGAAGAGATGGCTCAGCAGTTAAGAGCACTTGCTGCCCCTCCAGAGGACCTGGGTTTGATTCCAGCACCCACATGGGGGCCCACAACTGCTGATAACTCCAGTTCCCTAGGATCTAGTACTATATTCTAGCCTCTTTTCAGTTTGTTTCTAGCTCTGAGGTTTTCTTTTCTTTCTTTCTTGGCTTGCTTGCTTTTGAAGTAGTGGGTATTGAATCTAGGGTCCTTCACATGCAAGGCAAGTGCTCTGCAGTCCCTCCTTCTTTCCATCTCTCTCTCTTTTTTTAAAAAACAATTTATTTAATTTTATTTTCTGTGCATTGGTGCAAAGGTATTAGAATCCCTTGAACTGAAGTTATAGACAGTTGTGAGCTGCCATGTGGGTGCTGGGAATTGAACCTGGGTCCAGGCAGCGCTCTTAACCACTGAGCCATTTCTCCAGGCCCCCCCCCCCTTTTTTGAGACAGGGTTTCTCTGTGTAATCTTGTGTGTTCTGCACTTACTTTGTAGACCAGGCTGGCCTTGAACTCACAGAGATCCACCTGCCTCTGCCTCCCAGAGTGGTGGGATCACAGGCGTGCACCACCATGCCTGGTTCTCTCTCTTTCTTTTCCCCTTCCTTTCCTTCATTTCCTTTCCTTCGTTTCCTTCTTTCCTTCCTTCTTCCTTCCTTCCTTCCTTCTTTCCTTTCCTTCCTTCTTTCCTTCCCTCCCTTCCTTCTTTCCCTTTCCTTTGTTTCCTTCCTTCCTTTCCTTTCCTTCCTTCCTTCTTCCCTTCCTTTCTTCCTTCTTTCCTTCCCTGCCCTCCCTCCCTCCCTTCCTTTCTTCTTTTTGAGATAGGGTCTTTCTAGCCTTCCACACCTGGTTCCTTTCTTTTGAGCTCGGTTTATTTATATATGTGTCAGTTTGGGTACAGTCTGCAAAACAGAAACCACATGCCAGTTCTTTTAAGATGAACTCAATAAAGGAAATAGTTTTGAGACTTTGTTGGGGGGCTTACCAAACCAAAAGAAATCTTAAGGAAAGTATTTTGGTATATTAACTGTAGGAAATGGTCTCATCCAGAATTGAGAACAAATAGAGGAAAGTTATCAGACTCCTGAAGTCTGGAGGGATATGGAACAGCTCTACCCGGATTCTCTTGGGGGAGTGTATGTTGCCTGGTTGCCAGTGGTTTCTTGGGAGCTCCTAAGAGGTCCTTGGAAGAAACCAGTCCTCGTGCAAGCTTGCCCAGCTGATGGAGGGCCAATGAGCGGCCCTGTAAGGTTGGTGTTAGCAGTTGAAAGAAACTGAATAACTGATGGAAACAACTGCTGTTATCGAGAAACACTAAGCCACTAAGGAGAAAGAACTCTTGCTGAAGAAAATAAAGAATGGAATATCTTATAATAGGAAAACAGAAAGTGAATCAACTGGAGGAGAGGAGGAAGCTGAAGAGGGCAGTGGAAAGGGTAGAAACATAAAAAAGGGAACAAAGTGTGATGGCACATGTGTTTGATGAGACCATGGTGTAGCCCATTACTCTAATAATTAAAACTGAAGGAAATAACACTTTCTGTTAAAGGGCTGGTAATGCAGCTCAGTGGAAACGTATGTATAAAACCCTGGTTAAGTCAGTCTCAGTCTCTCTCTCTCTCTCTCTGTGTCTCTCCTCTGTGTGTGTGAGAGAGACAGACACACACACAGAGGCAGTGACTGACTTGTTCTAATTAGGATTGCTTACATGAGCTTGGGGGTGCTATTTACTTAAGCAAGTACAGTTTACTAGTTGCTGGGTCACCAAAGAATGTGACTCCAGCTCCCCAACAACCATCATTGCCTATAGCCTCTCGGGGGGGGCCCCATTCATGATGGCATGTTGGTGGGTCCCATGTTTTTAACATCTACAGTATGCTGAAAATTCTTCCCTGTGTTAAACCACAATTAGATTTCCTAGAACTGCCACTCTAGTTCTGGTTTTGTCTGCTCGTGGGAGAGCCATAAAAATCTTTCTGGTCTTCTACAGGACAGGCAGCCATGTGTTCAACATTGCAAGCTTTTTGTTTTTGTTTTTGTATGTCTGTGTTACGTGTGCACCACACACACACAGTGCTTATGGAGGCCAAAAGAGGGCACTGGGTCACCTGTAAACTGGAGCTATCAGCAGTCAGCCACCGTGTGGGTGCTGCAGAGTGAACCAGGGTCCTAGGAAAGAGCAGCCAGTGCTCTGAACTGCTGAGCCATCGCTCCAGCCCCAGCACCTTATACTTCTAAGACCCTTCAGCATGGCCCTTCTTCCTTTGATCTTGCTTTTCAAAGGTGGTACTGAGTCATGTTCTTTGACTGTATTTTGAGTTCATTGACAATGTGCTAGTGATTTAATGGGCGGCATTTTTCTTACAGCTCTTTTCATATAAAGCTAAACAGAATCTTTCATTTGTTTTATTGGTTCTTTTATTCTAAATTACACATACACACTTAATTTTGTAAAATGTACTTGTTCTTCTGGTAATATCAAACTTTTTTTTAAATGATTTTTTTCTTTAAATGTGCATTGGTTTTTGCTGCATGTATGTCTGTGTGAGGATGTTAGATCTTGGAGTTACAGACAGTTGTGAGCTGGCATGTGGGTGC